AATTTTTGTTGCCTGTGACATGTTTAAAATTAGACTTATAATAATTGTCCTGCTTTTCCATGAGAAAATACCAGAGGGTTTGAATTCTTTCACCTGCAACTTCTTGGCCCTTAGGTAGTTGTGTTTGTGTCTCATACTGCACCCTCCTACATTCAGCTTGGCTGCAAGAAAAAAAAATACAAAAAGTCTTAGAGGAATGCATGCTTATTGCAAGGTTATGGTTTCGCTTGGCGTCCATCCCTCTGAGTCTCTTTAGGTCATTGGTTTTTGGGATTCGTTAGATTGCCTCATACATCTCCTCAGCAGTGACTGCAAAATCTGTCCAGCTGAGTTCCCTCCTGACGTGATTCTCTCCAGTAGTTGTCTTTAAGCACAGCGCTGCTACGCTTGAGCAGATAGAACAAGCCAACCAATGTGATCTAATTGCAGCTTCATGAAAAAAATACTGCTTTTATAAAAATAAATAAATAAATAAATCCTAAATCTTGAAATCTATCAATTGCAATAGGTTTGAAATGCTTTACGTTTCTATCATTATTAGTGAGGTTAAAGAAAAAATTCACCCAGATATGGGAATTGTCATTATTATGTCAAAACTGTTCGGTTGCTCTATTGATCTTATTCATAAAACGGGTCTGGATGATTTCTTCACGATTCATACTAATCTGATTACTAATCAGTTTACCAACTCAATGATCTGGATGCAATAGTTAAAAGTTCATTTGCATGGAGAATTGAGAGTGACACTTAAAATAAAGACAGAAGTTCCCCAATAAGTGAACTGTCCAATAACTTTTTTTAGAATTTGATTGACAAAAAAAAAAAAAAAAGAAGAGCAGTTGACAAATGGACAAAAAAGGAATTGGCAAATGGCCAAAGAAAAACAACTGGCAATTTTTTTTTTCTTTAAAATACAACTTAAAATGTGCTTCTAAAAATTATTTATTAATTTACTATTTTACTCTTATTTAAGTATATTTCAAAACAAAAGAAATAGAGAACTTAAGTGTTGAATCATGTCTCTTAATTTTTCAATTTAAAGTTATTTATTTCCCTTTTATGTTTGAATAGATAAATTGATAACTCAGTCCTTCTTATTTTTAAGTGTCACTCTCAGTCCTCCGTACATTGAAGATGATCAGTGAATAGTGACACAAATCATAGTGCTTCACGCAACTTGGAATATAGTGCACCAATCATGTTGACTACTTTTATGGTCTTTTACAGTCTTTTACTGTATTTCCTTTTATAGCTTGAAAGCTTTTCTCATTTATTGTAAATGTATGGAAATGAGTGACAAGTACATCCTTAATTTCTCCTTATGTGTTTTAATGGAAGATAGAAAGTCATACAGGTTTGGAATGACATGAGAATGAGTAAATGAGCACACAATTTATTTTTGGGTGAACTGTCCTAAGGTAAAAGCTTCATTCTGGTTTCACTCTTAACATATGTTTTCCTGTTTCAAATAGTTGTTGATACCAATGACCGATTTCTGCGTAAGATCACTGTTGGTCAGGCCAACACAGAAAAAGGCCATGCTCGCCAGGTATGTGCTTCATATTTCTGATTCAATTAACCTACAGTCAAATGTGAGTGTAGAAGTTTTGTCACTTTTCCTCAATGATTATATATCTCGCTTTCTCTATTCCCTCTCTCACTTTTCTGTCTATTTCCCTTAGCTGGAATCTGTTAAGTCTTGCAGTATATTAGCGGCTGTCAGAAATGATGACTTTTAAAACAAATCAGGCAGATAACAGTGTGCACCTTAATGGGAAACAGTCTAAGTAAAAGCAAATGTTTCAAAAAAGGCGTTACTGCGCACATACTGTAGCAAACCCTTTGAGCTGGTCAATCATGTGCTTATTTTCGTCTCCCTCCCACTGTACCAAAACCACTGAAATGTCCACTACAGCCTAGTACTTTGTTCTTGAGCAACATACAGTATAATATACAGTATGTGCATTTTAAAAAGACAGTGAGAGTGTGTGTTTGAAATTTTAAAAAACACTTAAGCATGTTACTTCAGGCTTTGCAATCATTGAGTAAGGCTAGATCATCTCAACATTTAGGGTGCTGTAAATGCAGTTAAATGGCAAGTAATAATGACACAAGTGGTGTGTATTAAGTGGCCCATCTCTCCTGATGGGGCATCTGGACACCACTCCCAGCTGTTTTATTGGGGGAGTATTTATTAGCTGAGAGTTAAACCAGGACAGCTTGGTTTTACTCCAGCTGGGGTTGTCTTGGACACATGTGGGAGCAGTTTACTGTATGTGATAAAGAACCAGACTTGGAAGATGTTGCGTGCGTGGGTCTTTTGACAGATTTCTCCACTCTCTATATCATGACGACTTATTTTGATAGAAATCACCTAAATCATCACTGTGATGTGTTTGTGTGCTGGTCAATATGTGATCTTCCCCTCTCGTTCTTACAGACCCAGTTTGATATTGCGGTGGCCAGTGAGATCATGGCTATCCTTGCTCTGACAGATGGACTGGCTGATATGCGGGCCAGGCTGGGACGTATGGTTGTGGGCAGCAGCAGAAACGGCCAGTCGATCACTGCAGATGACTTGGTGTGTGTGAGAGAGAGAGCGCGCAGTTAACTACCTATAAATTGATCAAAAGTCACAGAAATTAATGCTGTTCTTTTGAAATTTCTATTCATCAAAGAATCCTAAAAAAAAATGCATCGTTTCCAAAAAAAATTAAGAAACACTATTTTCAGCTCAAATTTGGAACAATCACTGCTAAAAAAAAACAACAACTTTGCCATCAAAGGAATAAATTGCATTTTGAAATGTTATAATAGAAAACAATTATTTTAAATGGTAATATTTAATAATATTACTGTTTTTACTGTATTTTT